GCACAGCCTTCTCTCTCCCCGGTGGATTCGTCGCAAGCCGAGGAGCGCAGCAGGTAACCCCTCTCCCCCCTTCCCCTTCCCTTCCCGCTCTCCCCGTTCCGTCCTCCCCGATTCGCCGTGCTCGCGGGTTTCGAATCCGCCGCCTCCCGGAATCTCTCCTGCGAATCGGGAACCAAACAGCTTTCGCAGATGGTGCTGCTTCTCCTATGCCGCGTTGTGGGTTCTCCGGTTTGGCCGGAGGACGCGCGCGCGCGTTTCTGGGGTTTCGGCAGAGGTTCGGGGAATCCGTAGCTGAGCTCGAATGAGCTTGTATCTTCGCCGGTGCCGCCGTCGTGAGAATCCCGGGTGGATAGCAGATTATCGAAAGAGATCATTTTGAGGCTTCGCTCGCGTTTTGCGTGTCGTTTGGGTTCTTGGGTCGATTGAGGGAGTTGGCTTTGGGACTGCTGGGTTGTTTGTGTAGATTTGAACCGTGGCTGTCTTTTGTGGGATGGATGTCGACCTTATGGTTACGCCTGCGTTGGGTCGTACTGGTTGACCGGATGTTAGTGAGGTTTTTTGTCTTTTCCTGGGTTTGGTTCTTGCGGTTCCTTGATGCTTTCTTTTCTTTTGAGGCAGAGGGTTGTTTTTTGGGTGCCGGCGAAGATGTCGAGGAAGGGCTTGATGGAGCAGGACCTGAGTAAATTGGATGTGACGAAGTTGCATCCACTCTCTCCTGAAGTTATATCCCGCCAGGCCACGATTAACATTGGTAGCTATTTGTGCCTGTATTTTTATGCTTCCTGTTAGTGATAGCTTCTCGCGTTTTTCTTCACCGCGATATTGATGGAACATATGTTATTGTCCTCAGGTACGATTGGCCATGTGGCGCATGGGAAGTCGACGGTTGTTAAAGCTATTTCTGGTGTCCAGGTGAGTGTACTTGCTGTATCTTTCTCCACCATCCCCCCTTTATGTGATACTTGTTAGTCTGGGAATACTTACACTTGCCCTCTGGAGTTTCACTAACCGTCTCACTTACCATGTGAAACACAACATGGTTGAGAAATGTTTGTAAACTGGAGTAATTTGTGACAGAAGCCATGTGCCTCATTACCATTAAATGCAAGACATCTTCACTCCATGTGTTCATGTTGTGGTATGTTGGTTATTCTTTGAAGTAAAGAAAGAAGTAAGCTTTACCTTTGAAGGGTAACTGGTGTTGACTGCAATAATGTTAATGCTGAGTTGGATGCTCTCTGTGTTGTAATAGGGTTTTCTTACTTTTTCATAGGTTAATTACTTCTACTAGTCGGTAGATCCTTTATTTGGGATGTGCTTGATGTTGGATGCTTTGTATTCACAGACTGTTCGTTTCAAAAACGAGCTAGAGAGAAACATCACAATTAAGCTTGGATATGCCAATGCAAAGATTTACAAATGCGAAGATGAACGGTGTCCTCGGCCTATGTGCTACAAGTACGTTGATTCCAGGATATGTTTTAGTTTTTACTCCTCACAATATGCTTCTAATTGCTTATACTTTTATTGTGTTTTTCCAGAGCATATGGAAGTGGAAAAGAAGATAGTCCTATGTGTGATGTACCTGGGTTTGAAAATTGCCGAATGAAGCTCCTCAGACATGTCTCCTTTGTAGATTGTCCTGTAAGTCCCCCACCTCCCACATGTTAGTGGTCTGATATTTCTTATGGTGTCACGCTCAATTAAGATAGTGTGTTTCACTGTAGGTCGAATTAGGTAAACATTAACTTAAGCCTTGCCTTTATTGTGTTCTGAAATATGGAAGTTTTTTCTTCGAACGTTGATCCTGCATGGCATGTTTAGCAGGAGCATGTAATTTCTTGAGTCTAAATGAGTAGCATAGGCACAAGTTCTTCGAAATCCAGTGTAATAGTTACGTCAGCTAGTTTGGTGCTGCGCTTTTCTGCCGTATGGTTTCTAAGTTTCTTCATCTTAATAGCTCATGCTAAGCACATCGTTTTTAATAAAGGAGATGCACCTAGAATCACATATTCATTTTGTCGCATCTTGGACTCTTCTACTCGCCATTACTTGTCTGCCTTTGCTTTGCCTGTCCTGTAATTTACCTCTAAGTGGCATCGATATGCACTGCGTGTTAGTAGAGCCAGACTAGTATGTAGCCATATATAATGTTTAGGCGGTACTCACGAAGCAGCATGTAACCATTTATAGCATCTTGGACTGTTCCTTTTGTCTTCACTTGTCTGCATTTGCTTTACCTCTAAATTGCATGATATGCATCACACATTATTAAGACTAGAGTACATGGTTGTTGTATGTGGCATTAAGGTGGTACTGATAAAGCAGTAAAAGGAAAATTCCAACAAATTAATTATGTTCAAGACTGTATAGACTATGGTTTTAAGTTTGCCTAGATATAGCACGAATAGGAATTTGCGGAATAAGCATGTGGATATTCTTTCTTTTTATGTCCTTTCATTCCCTATAACTGTTACCTTTTGTGTACTCGTGTTGATAGGGTCACGATATTCTCATGGCTACTATGCTTAATGGAGCAGCTATTATGGATGGTGCATTGCTGCTCATTGCTGCAAATGAGAGCTGTCCCCAACCGCAAACTTCTGAACATCTGGCTGCTGTTGAAATTATGCGCCTCCAACATATTATAATCTTGCAAAACAAGATTGATCTGATACAGGAAAACGTAGCTATCAACCAGCACGAAGCAATTCAGAAATTTATTCAGGTAAGTCGTCTAATTACGCCCTCAATGTACAATAACCTCCTGTCAGTAGTCTGACTTGCAAGCGCATAATTTTGCCTCCAGGGAACTGTAGCTGATGGTGCACCGGTTGTCCCAATTTCCGCCCAGCTAAAATACAACATTGATGTTGTTTGTGAGTACATTGTGAAAAAGATTCCCATTCCGGAGAGGAACTTTATCTCTCCTCCAAATATGATTGTGATTCGATCTTTCGATGTCAATAAGCCTGGTTTTGAGGTTGATGAGATAAGAGGTGGCGTGGCTGGTGGAAGTATTCTCAGAGTATGTTTTTCATTTGCTAATTTTTCTCCTTATGCATGAATAGTACTTGTGCTCTTAATTTCAGTGCAACATGTGAAGTTGCCTCATAGCTATTCTATCTCACGTTCACGAGGCACTAATCTCTCTCTCTGTGCAATGGGTTCTTCTAGGGCGTTTTGAAAGTAAATCAGATGATTGAAGTTCGTCCAGGAATTGTTGTTAAAGATGCAAGTGGTAATACTCGCTGTACACCAATATACTCCAGAATAGTATCCCTGTTTGCAGAGCAGAATGAGCTCCAGTTTGCTGTGCCTGGAGGTCTCATTGGAGTTGGTACTACCATGGACCCTACCTTGACCAGAGCTGATAGATTGGTGGGTCAGGTTCTTGGGGAGGTTGGATCGCTCCCCGAGATCTTCGTTGAGCTTGAGGTATAACATTGGACGGATGCTATTTTGCTGTGACGCTCCCTGTTTAATGCGGGTCATTTTGCCTGGGTATTTCCGGCTTCATAATTTCACCTCCATCTGTTTTGCAGGTGAATTTCTTCCTTCTGCGACGACTTCTAGGTGTCAGGACAATCGGATCAGAGAGGCAAGGAAAGGTGTCGAAGCTGGCCAAGGGAGAGATCCTCATGTTGAACATCGGCTCCATGTCGACCGGCGCCCGTGTCATCGCCGTGAAGAACGATTTGGCCAAGCTGCAGCTCACTTCTCCAGTGTGCACGAGCAAAGGCGAGAAGATCGCCCTCAGCCGGCGAGTCGAAAGCCACTGGCGCCTGATCGGGTGGGGCCAGATCCAGGCCGGAATGACGCTTGATGTCCCACCGGCACAATTTTGAGCGAATTGTTACGTCGAAAGATTCGAAACGCGAGAGAGATAGATTTGTGAACAGAGTCGTCTGGTGAAGAGTTTAAAAAGGATGTGGGAAGGCAGAGAATTGCTGGGTACAATTTTCGTCAGATGGAGGAGAAAACATTTATCTGGAACTCCTTTATTGCTATTGCTGTGTGATTCTTTTCTTACTCGTTCGGGAATCAAAGCGATTTTTGTTGACAATATCCCCTGTCGAGGGGGGTCGGATACACACTCCTTTCTGGGCGAATGTGGCTCAATTCTTTCATAAAATCACGCTCGATGAGGCTCACAAGTTGTATGTTCATTGAGATGATTTGGTCTTCTTTGATTATGCCATCGTGTAACGCTGGATCATCCCCGGCTCTTCTGGATTGAAACATTGTATGTCTCTCTTCCTCAGGTCACTTACTGGTCAGAAATCCTCAAATGTTCATCTGTCGGTTGTTCGATCTACATGTGCACCTGAGCTTGCTCGGCACGGATGTTTGATCTCCGAAAAGCGGCTTGCCAAAGCTCGCATGCCGGCTCCTGCTCGCTCTTCGTGCCGCCGCTTCTGATGACATGGAGAACCGTTGCCGTCCCATGAAATCATCGCTCGACGGGCACGACACCTGCCAACGAAACATGTTTCTTTTTGTTTTTTGCTCAGACATAAAGAAAAGGGGGGCCATTTTCGGCTTGTTGGCGACATAGGGGCAAGAACGCCTCGCGGATGCCCGTGTATGCGTGTCCAGTGGGAGCGGAACTCTTGCGGTCCTCTCTTACAAACAAAAGATAAAAGAGGATTTTAACGAACGCAATAATTTCATACCACCAGGATCGAAAGGGATTCCTTCTAATGATATATTTATTTAGGATTGGTGGGTTATAAGTTATAAATTTACAGAGATTCTTTTTATCATAAGAAAATCGTCGGCACCCTTTTAACGAAACTCCGGTGATTAAAATGAGTCGAACTCGATGGAGAACTATCCAAAATGGTCAACTCTAAATCCCTTATTTATACTAAAATAATACGTTTCAAAGTGAAAAGGACACTAATGAAAATCTTCAAAGGCAAATGGCCACCTTCACTTTATTTTATTAATCCATTCCCTCTTTTTCAGAAACATCATCAGGCCCAAATCAACTGGTCCGGCCCAACCCAAAACTCGCCAGGCCCACCAACGAGGCGCCTAAAACCCTAGCTTTCCTCCCTTCTTCTTCTTCTCCTCGTGCGATTCTCAGCGGCACGCCATCACCAGACCACACCAGACCAGGCAGCTCGCTCCCAAGGTCTCTCTCTCTCTCTGTGTTCCCTTCTCTCTGTGCGTTTTGGGACGCTTTCTCACTCACCCTTTGGCTCGGTGCGGTCGCAGGAGGCGTAAGGTGAAGAGGTGTGTAGTCCGAGGTTCCGGTCGGAGAGGATGAGCAGAGGAGGGAGCTCGGGCGGCGGCGGCGGCGCCAAGGCGGTGAAGAAGAAGGGGGCGACGTTCGTGATCGACTGCGCGAAGCCGGTGGAGGACAAGATCATGGACATCGCCTCCCTCGAGAAGTTCCTGCAGGAGCGCATCAAGGTCGACGGCAAGGCTGGCGCCCTCGGCGACTCCGTCACCGTCTCCCGCGACAAGTCCAAGATCACCGTCACCTCCACCAACGACTTCTCCAAGCGGTACTCCCCAGAATCGATCCTCCCTTTTATCGAGCTAGTTCTTGCGCTTGTGGTGATGCGATGCTGCTGCTGCTTCTGCTGCTGCTTCGTGTGCACGGAGCTGCGGTTATAGAGAGTGCCTAGGGATGCCCTTGTTGAATTGCGGTGCTTTTTCTTTGGAAATTGGAAAGAGCTTTTAGGGTTTTAATGTGCTTGATCGTGTCGCGATGTGTGAAGATGCTGCGTGTTTTCGCTTTCGTTAGTCGCGATTTTTGGCAAAAGATTGCTTTTTGAGTTAATCTGTAGCTGCTCTTGGGTGTATGAATTGCTGTTTCCAGCTGGAGTCTGGATTTTTCTGTGTGCCTTACTGGGACTAGGCGCCTAGGCGGCACTCCTGCCGTCCCTCTGCCAGCGAGCGGGTGGGTGGTTGTTTACGTCGTGTGATTCACGGCGAGTCTGTTGTTGTGGTGGGATTTCGGCACGTCATGTTCGTAAACTGTTGCATATTGCACTGCGGCGAATCTTTGTGCAAAATCGTGTAGCTTACGCGTATGGTTTATCCGGGCCTTAAATGCTGGTGGATGATCGTATGTGAAATGGATACAGTTTGAGAGGTTTTGGGGTTTGCATGACAAAACTGATGGTTGAGTGAAACGTACTTCTATGGTATAGTTCTTGCTTTGAAAAGTTCAGCATCTGAAGCCGGTGTCGATGCTGCCCTGTAAAATCTGTAGAAAGCGACTTTTAATTCTGCCTAGGGTCGATACCAGTTAAGGTCAAGGGTCAGCTAAACAAGTTACCTAGGCTTAAGTCTCTGATCAACACAAGATTGCCCATGTGGAATGTTGAAACTCGAGTCTTCATAATTTTTTTGTTCACTATACCCTAGGTAGCCCCATCTGATATGGTATGAGCAAATGCTTGATGTGCTATACTTTGTGAATTTGAAGATTTCTCCGGCATTTGCCTTGAATTGCTTCAGTTTTAACTTTAGATTTGTCACTGATCATCGTGTTTGCATCTATTAGGTACCTTAAGTACCTGACAAAGAAGTACTTGAAGAAACATAATGTCCGGGATTGGCTCCGCGTGATTGCTTCAAACAAGGACCGCAGCGTCTATGAGCTTAGGTACTTCAACATTGCTGAGAACGAGGGAGAGGAGGAAGATTAAGAATGTGCTTCCATATTAGAATATCATGATTCGCTTGCTCAAAAGATTTCGTTCGCCGTTTTCCGACATTTCTATGTTCTTATTGGGTTTTGGTTGTAACTCTGGCTTTCGGATTGCAAACAGATTTTCCTTGTCCTTTCACTATGAATCGAAATAGAGTTTTGAGTTCCAACATTGTTGAGCTTGGGACATAAACACCTTATGATGAAATATGCCACTTAGAGTATGCTGGAGATCTGAATGGAAAATACGTCTGAGCTAAGAGCAGAGGGCTTATAATTTACCCTGCTGAGATTGAAGAATGGTTACAATGATACACATTACTCTGGTTGATCTTAAGATAAAATTTGCATCTTCCTGGAGATAACTTATTCAGAAATAGAACTGCAAGCTTATGTCTGAAAACTCGTCGAGGTCGAACCGGCTTCTCTCATCAGATCTACGGCGCGTCAACTCCGTCTGCCTCCATTTTGCCTTCCCACACTTTGGCTCCCTGTGATCCTTCAGGGTTTATGCACCTCCACACAGCACTATTGCACTTAAACCCACTCCCTAAGGCGATCTGCCATATCCTATCCCCCACTTTCACTCTCCCTTTTGCTTCTGTGTAAGCAAGCTCGTACCAGATGGAAGAAGCTGAGGTGTTCCCAAACTTGTATAGAGTCATCTTCGATGCTTCCAGAGCTTCTTCACCCAACTTCAAGTTCTTTCCGATGGCATCTATGACGGATTTCCCTCCGGCATGTATGCAGAAGTGCTCAAAAGCTCTCCTGAAGTTCGGTACGTAAATTTCCGTTTTTCTCCCAGTGCCGAGCTTTCGCTTGATGATGGACCATGCGTATCGGCACTGCTCCGTGTAAGGCAAAACCAGAGGGCCCAAGGAAGCCACGTTTGCCTTTAGTGCGTCCCCGGCGACATTCACAATGCTCTTGGATATCGACACCCCAATTTCGTCCTCGGAGTCGACATCCTGGTACACACATGCGTAAGATTGATCGTCGTGAGCTCTGGTCGTCCGGACGAGGTGTTGAAGCTCGTACTTGGCCGCCTTCTTGTCTTGATCTCGGCTTGACATGAGCAGGGCCGCGCTCCCCATTCGGAAGAGACAATTGGTTATCAACATGGATGTGTTCTTACCCTTGTACCAGTTCATGTTGAGAATTTCAGTGCTTATGATAAGAGCCAAGGAGTTCTTGTGAACCCTCAACAGGTCTTGTGCTAGGCCTACCGACACGACACCGGCGCTGCACCCCATGCCGGAGAGGTTATAGCTTTGGATATTGCTCCTCATTCCGAACTCGTTCACCACCATAGCAGTTAGAGACGGCGTGGGACAAAACATGGTACTGTTGCAAATCAATATGTCTATGCTTCTAGGGCTAACGTTGTTCTTGCTCAGCAAGCCATGAACGACCGAGAAAATGACTGTCTCGGCTTCCTCTAGGGCAGAAGAGAGCGATCTCTTTATGGGTAACTCGGTAATCGATGGGGGAATGCTGGTCTCTTCGCTGAACCCTGCCTTCTCGAAGATCTTGCTTAGGAAAGCTTTGCTTTTCTGATCGACCTTCTCGTCGAGAAAGAGATGCTCCTGGAACATGCACTTAGGTAGCCGGAAAGAATCGGGCGGCCTGTAGCAATTGAAGTCCAGTAAATAGACCGAGGCTTTCCTTTTACTTACGAGGAAGAATATAGCCACAAGACCGAGCATCGCCAGCGGAAAATGGCGATGGGCGAATGCGAGAACGAACCCCAGTAAACCGAGGACATGTCTCAACGATGCCATGGCCATGAAGTGCAAAAACTTGAAATGATTCAGCTCTTGCAGGGGGATGGATTAGGGTATGGAGGCTCTGAAGAGAAGGACATCAAAGGATTGAGGGAGGTGATTTGCCCTGTTCATTGGAAATTCTGTCATATGGAACTGGGAACTGAAACACCATTTTGGTGCTTTGTCCTGAGAAATCAAATTTGTCACGGCAAGTAGGCTTGTTGGTTACAAACGTTGTTAGTGCATGGAAAGGAATCTTTTGCTTTATGGAATAGATATCTCTACTATCATGAGCGAGAGTCATAACACGTTTTTTGTATTGGTGATGTTTGAACAAACCATCTTGGCCGCGAGCAAATCATTCATAAGAGATCGGGAATACGTCGTCGCTCGAGATGTCATGGCAACTATGCACGCAACCACAAGTGCCTTATCTCCATGCTCAGTTTTACATTGCAAGAATGAAGGTCAGAAAAAAGGAAAGGCTTAAGATGGGAGATCTCTCTCTTTCTCAGAACTAAAAACAATAAAGACTCAATTATTTACTCGGCCATGTCATTTTCGCTTCGAGAAATAGTTGGACTCACATTTGTGCCTGATCGACAGCAAATTATGTGAATCCTGCGCGTTTTTCTGCAATGTCTTCGACTATGTTTGTCACACTGGCAAAAGAACAAGCACATCCGGCTTTCTACATTTAAACATTAGACGAATGCAGACAAGACTACTGCTATTTCATAGCCTCTTTGTCAGTTCACCTGACTAAGGGGGAACCTAACGTTAGAGAGAGAGCAGAAGAGAGATTCTCTTTACTGCTGCTTTCCTCTCAAGCAAACAAAATCCAATATTCTCAAAGACCTCTCCATAGTCTATCCAAGTTCTTGAGGTGCATTGAGTGCTTAACGGTCGCGGAAACTTGATTATTTGCCGAAACTGAGCTTATATGCTCTTGATCACTGACTAGAAGAATGCGACGCATTCATAGCAGCGACTCGACATGATTTCTTATTTACTGCATTTTAGTAAGTTGAAGCTCCGTATGCTAATTTTTGGACTTGACATCGATTATAGAGTCCATGTTATAACAGCAATCTTCTAGGTCCAGATGATGAAGGATGCTGACGAGATTTTGCGTAGGTTCACACAATGTGATAGACCATCCTAGCGTGCAACAGTGACCACCTTCTATGTGTTGTTTGTTTTTGTGAGTTCTCATGCCAGAAGGACCACAGCAATAGGATCATTGTCAATTATCACGGCAAATTGTTCTCTTCAATGCCCTTTGCTCGAAGCAAGTCCTTCTATCAAGAACTCCGAAATTTCTGCAACTCAATGATTTATTTTGGTCAGACAAATCAATGATTTGAATGCGGCAAGTTTAGAGTAGAATTCCTGGACCTGCATTCAACACCATTTCCTTTGAACTAAGAGAAAAAATTGCAGAGGGTTAGGAGCAGGACTAATTTTCATACCCTTCCTTTCTATTGGAATAGTTAAATTGAACTCATCCCCGAAATTAAGGACTTGCTGAGAATCTCAGTCATCAACTTGGGTTTGTAACAACTTGCAAAGTAACAAACACGGGGCCATTTAAAGAAAGAAATTCTGAGCATGAAATCCAACTGTGAAGAGGTTATGCGAGAGAAGAAGACAAAAAGCATCTTTTTCATCTCAGTCAAATCAACGATTCGCATTGAACAATGATCATTACAGTTATACACGCATGAATGGAAGCATGCTTGTACTGTTTTGTTTGTGTGCTGTGTAGGTGGAGACTGAGTGGACAAGATAGAGTGAAGCCCACATCAATGAGCACGCTCAATGTAGGTTTATGCAAATATTTTGACCAAACAAGCCATATATGGAACTTCAAGTACTAGACATACACGGGGCCATTTAAAGAAAGAAATTCTGAGCATGAAATCCAACTGTGAAGAGGTTATGCGAGAGAAGAAGACAAAAAGCATCTTTTCATCTCATCTCAGTCAAATCAACGATTCGCATTGAACAATGATCATTACAGTTATACACGCATGAATGGAAGCATGCTTGTACTGTTTTGTTTGTGTGCTGTGTAGGTGGAGACTGAGTGGACAAGATAGAGTGAAGCCCACATCAATGAGCACGCTCAATGTAGGTTTATGCAAATATTTTGACCAAACAAGCCATATATGGAACTTCAAGTACTGGACATATTGTTCTGTAGTGGACGCGATAAACTGAGTCGATCATAGTGTAAAAGATCATATGGGACCGCCCATGTCTTATTCCCCGTCAAGTTGAGGTAGTAGATTATAATTGTAGATTGCGACGGACTTGTTCTGCAAAGATTATACAATGAGCTTAAGCGATTCTTTTCACACCACAGTTTTCATCTTATTCAACTCCTCTCTGTTGGCCAAGGAAATCTCTGTGGTACCCCAATGACGCAATTTATTTGATCAACATGACCTGAATTTAGGCACTTCTTGGAGTACTCATAGATACTGATTGTTAGCTTGGTTCCAAACAACACTTGTAAACTATGGTAATGCTGCTATGTATGAATTAAGCTTTGATCCTTTGTTAATAGATACATACTCGCAATCGACGGAAATCTTGTGGGTAATTTGAGAATATCAGTGTCATTTTTCTAACATCAAGACCACTCTATATTTGGACATAACTAGGACAGCAACATGTATAGCTAGTCCAGTTCTTCTTGGTTGAGCTTTCTGTGGTCATACTCTTCTTCAACTTGCGCGTGGCTCATCCAAAACTACACTCTCCAAGGCAGACTCATATGTCTTCTGCGTGTTTGTTTGCGCATGCACGCGTGTATTAGAGAGAGAGAGAGAGAGAGCGGCACATTCAGAAAATGCTGCAGCAAGTTGGGCCTTTCCGGCCCCTATAAAATGACTGCAAACCCACCGGTATCTTGCAACATACACTCACTTCACTACTTGAACAAGTCCACCTACGCACTTCACAGAGCTCTTCCAATAATCACTTCCGATAATGACTCTGAAATCACTTTTCCTGATGTCACTCATTGTTGGGGTGCTTGTGGTGGGTGCCCCAATGGCTCAGGCACAATTAGGAGGACTAGGAGGACTCATTGGTTCCCTCCTTGGCCTGATTCGGATCAATGGGATCGTGCCGTGCCTTCTCAGTAGCACCACTTCACTCAAAAATGGCACAATTCCGGTTTTCCCTAGTAAGTCACTCCTCTTGTGAATCAATACAATTCTATTGCCGCCCCACATTTGCATGCTACATAGTCGAGTTGCGTTGCTAGCGAATCCCAGTTCCTGTACCTCATATTTACGAGGTCCAAACCTTTTGCAAACTGCACAATTTGCTTATATCGGATTCGTGCCCTGTACAATATCGTCTAGTTAACTGAGTGTCCAAATCTAGTTAACCGTCTTTCATGTCGCCTATTGCATTCTGCATAGACAAGCTCTATTAGCAATCCAAGTTATTCAAATGAATGCATTGGCAACGAGGAAAAGATTTGGGATAACCAGTACAATGTGCATGGCTCTGGTGTAGATGTCACATGAAATTCTCGAATTTGATTAATTGAATCGTGTTCTTGCACAACCTCTGCTGCGAGCCAACAAACCTGTTATCTGTCGTGTACTCCGCATATGCAGTGTTTTAGCTCTGCTCATTCAAGTGCCAAAAGAAGAAAAATCGATGGTTTCTTCAAGTTTGCGTCATTATTTTACTTTTTTGCGATAATCGTATGTCCTTCGAGATGGATTTGATCCAAAACAAATAAAATTTTCTTCGCTGAATAGTTTTGTCCTTGCCCATTCTATTATATGCAATTGCAGATGCAGTGGTACAACTTAAGTGCGGAGGCAATGTGGTGTCCTCCGCAACCACAAATCAGAATGGTGTTTTCTCTATTCTGTTGGACCCTCTCCAATACATCCTCTCCACAGTACTCAACACTTGCCAATTGGAGGTCCCAACTCCTCTCTCGAGCTGCAACTCAAGCTTGCCCATCACCGGAGTACTCCAGTCAGCATTGCAGTTTGTCGGAAACACGCTCCAGGGACTCCTCAGCATTGCCAACATCGTTCCTACTGGGTTCAATCTCATCGGCTGAGCTGTATGGGCATGCAAATCAGACCCGACCCGAGCTTTTTCGGATGACTATAACAATATGTGATACCATATGTAAGCAAATAAGGTCATGTTTATGAATGTGGCGTATGTTGAATTAAAAGGAGGCATTTAGCAAAATGATGCTTCCTTAAGTATTAGATGATTTTCCGGATCGTGTATCGCAATGATTTATAATCTCCCGCAGCATATAGTCGACAACAAAATACAACTACTTTTCAATGGATACTTGTCATCTCATTGTCCTCCTCTAGTAGATTTCTTGATCTCGAAAACGTTTGTGCAGCAACAGGCCTTTCGGGTAGGGGTGAGCGGTTCCCGGTCCGGTCCGGTTCTAAGGTGGAACCGGGAACCGGACCGAGAGAACCGGTTCCTAATTTTGGGAACCGCGGACCGTCGGTCCGTATTTGAGTTCCGGTCCGGTCCAATGGAACCGGTTACTTAGAGTTTAGGGTTTTTTTTTTGTCAAACACTTAAGGTTTGGTTCATATTTTACTAATTTTTGTCAATAAATTTATGTCAATGAAGTCCACTTAGAGTTTAATTCACATTTTACTATTTTTTATCAATGAATTTATGATAATGAAGTTCACTTAGAGTTTAGTTCACATTTTATTAATTTTTTAAAGAAAAAATAACAAAAATATATATTAAATAGTCGGTCGTCCGGTCCGGTTCCCTTGGAACCGGGAACCGGACCGCCGAAACCGGTCCGCTTTTAGGAACCGGAACCGGACCGATAGTCCCGAGAACCGGACCAAACTCGTCGGTCCGGTCCGGTCCGGTCCGGTACCGGTTTGGGCGGTCCAAGTTGCTATCCCGAAAGTTTCGGGAGCAAATTACCGACTAACATCATCTTCTCCATGCGAGATCTTCATCTTTGGCAGCAATTATAACCCGAACTAGAAGGGTAAACGGCGTTGCGCATTCTTTCGCGCGATATAACATCATGACTTGACGAGAAACTGCTAAACCCCGATTAGAGGGACGACGAGAAGATGCAAGATATAATGACTCGATTATCTTCGCATTATACCACAAAGCAAAGATTTCAATGTGCATTATTATCGACAACTCCAACCTATTTCTTGCTCTACTGTCCTATCTGGTCGTGCGAACTCATCACATTAGAACATGTGTGATTCACGTATCATATTCTCTGATTTCTCAATCCAGAGAGCATGTTGGTGATGAAGTTTATCAGGGACAAGATCATTAGGACATGGTAGGCTCGGTTGTGATTCTTCTCATGAACTTGATAGGACACATGACCTCGGAAATATTACAGAGATTCTAGGATTAGTACTCCTAGGTTAGCATCCATCTTTCATTTTACCCTCTTTCTCACTCTCTCTCTCTTTCCCCCACATAGGCTTAGACACGGAGACCCACGGTCGATCTCCCACTCGCCGCCGCGCATGTCATCGTCACTCCTACGGCGACTGTCGTGATCACTGTCAAGCTCAAATATAAGGCCATGATTGCCATGGCCAAGCTCCGTCACGGAGGCTGGTGTGGCCTATCTCGGTCCTCCACAGCTCGAGAGCAACCTTGCACAGCCTCAGCAACCATGAGCGCGAGTGACGGCAAGCCCTGAGCTTTCATGGCCGTGTGCAAGCTCGCCATGGATGTCAACTTTTTTCAACTATCGTTTATACTATCGAGTTTTGACAAGTTGGAGTTGGTAGAACCAATCTCTGTCCGGCTCGAGGAAACCTTTGCACACACCTCCATTACCTTTTGGGAGACCTATGCCCCATAAAAACTGTTTACCTAAGACTATTCCTTGACCCGTAGGTCATGACACAAGGTTAGAATTCTAGTTCTTCATCTCACTTATGGCTCGGGCCATCCCAAAAGGAGGCCTTCTTCGCCTTCTACCTAAGTTGCGCAAGAAAGGCCCAAAGCCAAGCCAATCCCAGGGAACAGTAAAGCTTCATAGGGTCTTTTTATTCAGGTGTAGGTAGTCCACATATTCACAAACACATCTATTTCGATACATGAGAGCTTTTGTAGATTTGTGTGTGAATTTAAAAAAGAAAACGAAAAAGAAAAGTTTACCTACAAAATTCGTATTATTTCATTTATTTATCGTTTGAGATATGTTTTTATTTTATTTAACATTAATCACATTCAGATCTTTAAACAAAAAACGTTTTTTAATCTGAGGTCACAAACGCAGAGTAAAGGCCCGGCTATTTAGAGCATTTCGCCCACATTTTACTTTTCTTTGTCAATATGTAATATTATCCTTAAACTTTTCATTTGTTCAATGTAGTCCTTGGACTTTTGGTATATGTTCAATTTAATCCATAAATTATAACAACATGTTCAATTTTTTTTTGCCAGACCATTAATTGAAGATCTTTTTCTTTTGCCAGATCATTAATTTAAGTTCAAGAACAAACATTTATGCATCCACTGTCCTTTCATGGAAATATCAATGCCTAAGTTTTCTCTTTTACACATCCTAAATTGATGAAATAATTTCTCCACATTTTATGGGGTGGGGGTTGGGGGGTGGTCCCCCGAGCTTTTATTTGACCCCGTCCTTTTTTCTTTTCCACGTTGTACTTCACTCCGTCTTCCGTCGCCATCTCCATCCTTCCAAAACTTTCCAAGCATCATCACCAGTCCCTTTCTTGGATCATAATGATACACGGGATCCACATTTTCACTTCCCTTCTTTCTTTCTATTCAATTCCAGGTTTTTTTGGCCAACCAAAAAAAAAAAGAAGAAAAGAGAGAAAATTCAATGAGCAATTCATATCGAATTTGACATTTCATGCTTGTTTTATTAATGACTTGTCAACCCAATCCGGTTGGAGTTTTGAGATGGAATTAGTAACAACAAATTCGATTGCTTTCCATACATCTTCGAGAATTCTATAGGTTAATCAATTACATCTGATGACGATAAAGGTAAAGATTAACATGGTCCTTTAATGGGGATCGGCAATGGCTCGAGGGGACGAAGATCGGTGTTCTTTCTCAGTCGAGCGACCCCGACTCTCGAACCTCCACCCCATTCACTACACTCATCGACCTGAGTTGCTGCCGATCGAAAGGTTATGCAACTCTTACGCAACTCATGCCTCCACCTTATTTGCCTCGTGAAAAAATAGCCTTCTTCGGGTTGAAAAAACAAATTCTTAATTTCGATCTTTTGTCGCTTAGTAAAACAGGAACGAAAAATATTTTCATTAATACCAACGTACGCCTAAACAGTTCTGGTAATCATGAGAACACATTTTTTTATTAACTCATTTTCCCAAATGAAATGATTAAGATTACGAAATTCTTTTCGCGAAATAATCACAGCTTAATTTTACCAATGGAGGGTCCTCCGACAGAGAAAAGGTCCAGTAGGTGGGGAAGCAAAGGGGAGGCCGGACCGACACATTCCTATCTCCTCCCCTCCCTCTCTGTTCTTCCATGCCCTCTTACTATTACAACAGAACAAGCTGGACCAGTTCAGTTTCTCCCACAAGTTTTGTCATCATTCATTAATGTTACCACCAAATTGTCTTTGGTTCTGCATTCTTTGTGTCAATTATGACCAAACAACAGCGAGAGTTTTCTAATACCAAATCAGTGAACTACTTGTAAATGCTCTGTGTACAGCTGCACAACATGCCACACAAGTCTGCTGCTTACTTTTGTATTAGCCCAAGACCAAACATGTGTGTCCATGTGAGGCCCCAAGTAAAAGGAAAAAACCCTCCCAGTCCCCCTTCCAACATGCATCGTTATTGTAATCAATAAACACTCTGTGCCATTGACCATTCAATTCAATCAGATGCAACAACTCAGAAAACAATTAACACTAGAATGAATACAAAAACCAAGAGGATGAACAATGGAACAATCACATGGGACTCTTGGAAGCTCTCTCTCTCCCCAGAAAAAGGACAAAGAGAGAGAGTGAGAGAGAGGTGGCAGGTGGGTCAATCTCAAAACCAACACATATAAGCATTTCACTGAACAAGAAACATAAATGAGCTCGGAGAGAAAGTGGGAATTAGGTGCTACATTGTGATGCAAGCTGAAACTAATGAAACAGAGACTTATCAACAAGCATTGTAAATGACTGATTTATGTATAGGACCAGACTCGGACTAACAAGCGCCTCCTGTCTCTCAGCCTCCGACAGCCAGTAAGGAAGCTCCGTTCATGCCTGAAGTTGGTTTGATGGCAGCACTAGCGTTTCTCTTCCCTGAAGAAGGCCTGCTAAAAGCTCTCATGGGGCTTGCAAGAGCCCAGCCCCAACTCTTGCTCCTGCCATGATGATGAGAATAAACAGCGGGCTTTGATGACACACCACCGTGATTGACATTGTCTTCAGCTGAATTGGAGGATGATGAGACCCAGTAGGATGAGGAAGATGCTGAGGATGATGAGATGGAGGAGGATGAGTTGGTGGCGTTGGCCATCGCAAACCCACCAAAAATCCCACCACACCTGACCCTCTCCTTCAAGCACTGATGAGGATGATGATGATGAGCCTCTGAGGTGGCGGAGGTGGAGGCTCTGGGTGGCTTACCTTCTCTGTGAGACTCCACCCTCCTCAGAGTTGTGCAGTCCCCAATGAACCCAGTGGAGATCCTCTCAAAGAAGTCCCCTGAGAAGCTCCTGCTCCCACACCCCACAGATCTGGATCTCGAGACCTTGTTGTTGTTCTCAAAAGACGAAGCAGAGACGCCATTATTAGCAGCGACAGCAACATTATCTTCTTTCACCACAGCTTGTCCTATCCTGGACAGAGAATGCCTCGAGTCTCTGTCTCTTGCATTGTGCGGCCTTGAGGAGGAGGAGAGAGACATGAAAGACCAGAACCCACCCCTCTTCCTGGGGCTATAAACATGCCCACCAACGTCATAAAAATGGCAACTTTGAGGAGTAGCAGCAGAGAAGGCGATGGACCTGCTCCTCTGGAACACCATGCCCGGCGACGCCGCCGCCTCCTCCTCCACCGTCACCTTCTTCTTCTTCTTGGCCAGAAAGGAGGTGACCTTCGAGTACCTGGCGGGGTGCGCATTGTGGGCCTGGTGGGGCATCGAGGAAGACGCGAACGACAGCGACGGAGGGACGACGTCGTCGGATCTGAACGAAGGGGAACGCGACGGGGACGAGGAGTTGCGGTGGCTCGGGAAGGCGAGTGAAGAGGACACCAGCTTGCCGAGCTTCTCCTGGAGGCAGAAGGCGCAGATTCCGCCGCCGCCGCCGCCCGCGGCGTTGAAAGGGTGGAAGCTGCAGTGCATGCCGTCGGCGCCCACGTCCGCCTCTGCTGCTGCGGCGGCGGCGGCGACCGCCTTGAGATGCTCCATCGGCCGCCCCGCTTCAAACGCGCATGTGGGTCGCCTGCAAGTTTCTTTCTTGGTGGGTGTTTCTTGGAGTCTCGCTGCTTCTGCAACGCTGCAGTTCTTGATGCGAAACACAGAGAGAGAGAGAGAGAGAGAGAGAGAGAGAGAGAGATGAAGAAGAAGAAGAGGACAAGGAGGACAAGGGAACAAGGCTGGTCAGAGCAAGAGAGAGAGAGAGCAGAGCAGAGGAGAGAGAAGGAGGGAAGTACAATGGCGTTGGAAGAGGGAGTAGACAGGGGGGGAGCTCTGCTGATATGCTTGGGGAAATGGAGACGATGCTCGCTCTTCGTTCATGACAAACACTACTCCTGTTTGTGCCTTTTAATTTACAGATTTCTCTTTCTTCTTTTTGTTTTTCTGTTTTTTTGGTTTTACTATTTGGAGTTTTCTTGGGGGATTTTTTTTTAATTTTTGTGTTTTTTTTGCTTCGAAATTAGATGAATGGATAAAAATATGTGCTTGATTCCACAAGCACCAATATTTTTTAGAAAAGGACAAAAACTCACTTGCCTCGTCCAAAAAAAAAATAGGTTCGTCACATATTTACCTTTCGTCAAGGTTCCGTCAAATAATTTTTCAATCAAAATAACGTTGTATTGATTTCACTCAAGGTACGCAATCATGCATCAATGTAGGCAGATCTTTAACTTGGCTTTCCAGCATCAATGTAGGCAGATTATTAACGGTCCTCGTGGACAGAACTTCGACGGGAGGCAAATATGTCACACAAGTACAGGTTTGTAACTTTTGGGATCTCGAAAAAAATTTAGGGTAAATGTATCACGGTACGGTGGACATGATTTGAAGTTTGCGGCGACTTTTGCCCTTTATACAAATAACTATAACAAGGTCATCAAATATCCCTCCAAATAAACAATGAGAGATGGCATTCCTGAAAAATGATGGACACAAATTCCAAAACCAAAGTATTTTGAAAAAGGGAAAAATCTTTTAGAAGAAAAAAAAAGATTAATATCACAAAAAACTCTAAACTGGTGCACATATAATAATTTTACCACAAACAAAATTTTTGACCATAAAAAATTCTAAATTGGTATATTTATGATAAATTTACCCAAAACTAATATTTTGACCACTAAAAACCCCAAACTAGTACATTTGTGACAAATTTACCCTCCATTAGTTTCCGTTAAATTGGATTAATACCACAAAAAATCACAAACTGATACACCTAGGATAAACGGAGGGTAAAACATAAAATTGGTACATCAGTCAACTGTCGCATATCACTTAACAAAATAATTTGATAGTAAAATTTAACTGAAATAAATTAAGGGTAAATTTATGATAAGCGTACCAGTTTGGAGTTTTTGGTAATAATGATAAATGGCATTTATGAAGAAATGATCTACACAAATTCCAAAACCAAAGTATCTTGAAAAAGGGCAAAAATTTTTAGAGGAAAACAATGAAAGAGAGAAAAAAAAATGATGGGGTTGAAGTAATGGATAGATCATGACCAAAAAAAAAGTAATGGATAGATAATAATAATAATAATAATAAAATAGAAAAAAAGTAATGAATGGCTGGGGGAGAGAGTCCCCATGAGCACGTGAAATGCCGTGTCCTTTCAGCCTTAAAAAAAAAAATTCGCAAAACCAAACGATGCCAGCCCTAAATTTTTGGGTCAGGCCTACCCTTTTGCGTAGGCGTTCAGAAGAAAGAATCTATTAATCTTTTTAAACCTACAGGCCCCCATAAACAGAAATTTCTTCTCTCTTTTTTTCCATTTTTTTTCTTTGGGTCAATAAATTTTTTTATTTTCCATTTAAAAGCTTCTTTCTTTTTCATTTTTTTATTATATATTCTTTTCTCTTGTGCAGCGTGGTCGTGAGAGTATTTTCTCTGCTGCTCCCTGACCCCAAAAAATTCTGAACTGAATTGCAGGTATACCGGGAAGAAAAAGTTTGCTGCGCTGCGCAAAGATTCCTCTCCCATCATGATCTTCTTTTTTTTTTTTTGTTATGAGAAAATCAATTTGAATAAAATACATGCCTCGAATATTTTGCTAATTTCATGAATCGAAGGAGATATACGGGCTAAAATCGGAATAAATAATCCATATATATATAGTATTTTGTACTTGCTAATGTGAGGATCGAATTTATGTTGAGACAACATTCCTGTTCCATTTTAATAACTGGATATACCTTAACTACGGGAAATAGGAAAAGTCTTTTTATTAAGAGCAACTTTTTGTTCTTGGTCGATATAAGAGCAAATTTTTTTTAATAAGATGAAAAGTCTTTAAGTAGAGATATTAGAAGAAAGATCGTGAATTAACTTATAAAGTGATGATTCTACAAACTATTGTCGTTGATTGCTTAAATGGAATTTCTCGCTTGAAAAAAATGACTTATAGCAATCATACAATTCGAATGAATAGTATTGTGTTGGGCCGATGCAGTAGAAATCCAATATCTTCATTCAGGAAGGTCGCTACGAGGTAAATGAAATCCGAACTTATCAACATATTCAGTTGAACTCATCTTTATTAAAAAAAACTTAGGCTAATGAGTTATGGATTAACTAGAAAATATTAACTATTCCACGTTAAACCACATCACCCATTATGAGACTTCTTTTGCCCAACATCCTTACAAATGTACCTTAACAAATCTCTCCCCCACGTTCGAGCCACTTGCATTAGAGCCGCTTCCCCTCAATTCCGGTATCCTTCAACACCGACGTTATCTCAACTCTATCATATCCACTTTTTTTTTGTCAAAGAGAATATCCACCTTGGCCCGACACAGCTTGGCAAGAAGCTGAGGGGCACCATTCACCACCTTGATTAAGGAGTCATATCCGATATTTTCTTCTTTATAAAAATTCGCCACACACCAATACACATTGAGATTGGGCCACAATCAACCATTAACTCCAATGCCACTTGTTTCAACACCTCATCCAACAGATTCAACAATGTTCATCACCTCATCAGCCTTGTTCATCGCTTTAGGTAATTTAATTTTTACCATCCAATACCTTCGCCAAACCTTGGGTTATGCATATGACATGCATCTTAATACTTCACAACTAAAATTGTTTCTCTCGTTGAACTTCTCAATCTTAACTTTCACTCCAGATATAATTGCAAACACGATGTTCCACAAAATGATCAGATAAGACAAGCCTCAAATGAATGCTGGAAACCCTAATCTTGGCACGGGTAACGATTGTTGTGTTGGATCGATGCAATAAAAGCTTTAATACCAATTGTTGTGAGTGCGGAAGTGAGAATTTCTTGCAATTCAGCATCAAATGCGAGAGGACAAAATTACTAGAGAAATAAAAAATGGACGATAAAGAAATAAGCTATTTACCTAGTTCAACCGAAGTAAGATGAGCTCTACTCGTTTTTACACATAAGTTTCCATTGTAGTGTTTAACTTCTATGGTGTTATCCAAGGCTGGGACATACTCGAGTGATTGTAGATTTTGTTATTCTGCATATTCATAGTGGATTTCTTAGTGGTTAAGGATGCGTTTGTTAACCATTCTATTCCCGGAAACAATTTCTACTCAGAAATGATTCTATTTTATTCTATTCCTGGAAATAATTTCTAAGCATTTGAAAACATTTGGTAACTGCCCAAAATTTATGTTATTGGAATAGAAAAAGAACAGAAATGCATTTGATAACTGTACAAAATTTCTTTTTATTAATAATATTTTGAATTTTGTAATATTTCTTTCTTTTTATTTTCCTTTTTTTTTTATTTTTTTCTTCTTCTTCTTCCCCTTCCTTGGCCCATGGCCAGGTCGTCGGCGTCGGCGACCGGCCACAAGCCAAGGCCGGCGAGGGCATCGCGGCTTTTGCTGCCTGGACTAGGGCTAGACCCTCACCGCCGCCCTCGCCGGCTAGCGGCCTGGCTGACGGTCACCCTTGCCAAATCTGCCGGCAGCCGGCGACCGGCCACAGTTCGGGAAAAAAACAAAGAAGAAAATTTCTTTTCCCTTTCTAATTCTTGTTCCTAAAATCATGAAGCAACTTTATTTTGCTTCTTGATTCTGTTCCAAAACTGATTCTGGGAACAAATTTGTGCAAATTTGTGCCTGAGAACAAAAAATTTACTAAACGGATTTCTGTTCTAAAACTGATTATGGGAATAAAAGAATATAATCAGTTACTATTTGGTCAGTTACCAAACGCAATCTAACTCTTTTCACGGAGAAGATACCGACACTCAAATGGAGCAACGAAGACATTTAATGTCTTTATCATTCTTTATTGATTTCTCCGGTTTTTTCTCGTTCCCTCGCCCTTGATATTGAATTGCACGATCAGTTGGCAAATTCTAGGGCTGAACTAAACAACTCTCATGCCCTTGTCCCATACTGGACGATAAAGTGAGTCCCACGTTTCTCCAAAACAAGACACATTACCCGACACGATCCGAAGGTAATGGAGTTCTCAAGCAAAGACATTGGTTGAGCGAAGCTTCTCGTTATCCTTTCCTTCTTTTGCTTTGCCCTTTTTTTGCCTTTTGGGTCCATAAAAGCTTCGAGTCGTCTTGACGCGACCCCATTGACCATCAATACGACAATGGACGGGACGAAAACGCACGGCTATCGTACTCCAACGTGCGTCATTTTATTAACATGTCTTCGAAGAAAGTTGAGACCATGTTTCATCGTACAAGAGGAATTGAGGCCATAATTTGAACTTACGTCGTCAATTTAAGCCAAAATCAAAGGAAGAGGCTCGTAAGACACAGCATTAATCTTCTGCTCGCAGAGCAGCCAAACAGAGCACGAAGACCGTCTGGTATGACCATCGACCATGCTGTGTCGTGGCTATATCTGTCTTGGGACAACGAGTTTGGCCAAGTGTGTCCTATACGTGCAGCGCCTTAAAGATGGGCGAGACAGTATTAATAGATCGCAACTGCAATATTATGATCGAGAACATCGTAAAGTTTGCGGCGCCCATTTGAGACAAATGTTTGATACCCGCTAAGACCATCTTCTGGATCGGCACCAGGCGAATCTTCCGTCATACATCTTGCTTAAAGAGTAACTCGCGACCTGAACTACAGAATGAGAACGTCGTAACCACACATCTCCCTCTATGGTAATGCAGATGGATTCATCAAGTTGCCAGAAGAGAGCGAACGTTATCCATTCGCGAGGATTGATTCGACATTAACCACACAACACTGAACCGAAAATGGTGATGCGTAGATGGACAAATCAGCCATACTAACTTCACTTCTTTTACGCTAAGCATGAAAGCAAATTCGACAAGACTGGA